TTCTAACCTCTTTAACCGTCTCAGCCAGCTCAACCATTGTGAATTCACCTGGGTTGCCTATGTTGATTGGTCCGGTTTGGTCTCCTTCCATCAGCCGCATTAGACCGTCCACCTACAAAACCAGAGTTAGATTATGTATCATTAATATTATCTTCATCGTATGTTTAATTGACAAACCTGGACATCGGTTAAATGATTCCACAGCCTTATTATATCCCGCAAATATTTATGTTGCGATTACATGATACCATAATGTTACCAATCAAAGAGGATGAGTTGCTATATAGAATGGACATACATACCATGTCTGAAACATAGCAGAAACTTCGGGTTTGTGTTCCCGGTTTCTGAACAGTCAGAGCTTCTCCCCTGCAACATACAAAAGCGAATTTTATCATACAAAGGCATTAGGATTACTCAAGTTTTACCCGGCTATCAAAAAAACAAAAGACAAATTCAAGAATTTATTTGAGGTTAATTTCACCTGAGAGCCTGAGCAATGAAGTTGCTCACGACACGACCATCATCAATGTTCATACGAGGACCATATGTGTTGAATATCCTGGCTATGTGTATTTCTAGAATGGTCCGGTAATAGTAAAAATTAATCAGCCAGTGAGTACATCAAAGGTTTCAAGAAAATAGTAAAAGATGAATTAATTTACCAATCCCATGTTGCCTATGGTAATCAAACATCAGAGTCTCTGCAACACGTTTTCCTTCATCATAACAGCTTCTAACACCTGCATTATATCCATTTTTGTTAGCTCATTCATTTACAGCTGAGATCATTACAACTAATCGTTAAAGATCACTTACCGATAGGGTTTACATTTCCCCAATAGCTCTCGGTTTGCGGGTGAACAAGAGGATCACCGTACACTTCAGATGTCGAAGTAAGCAAAATTCTTGCTCCAACTCTCTTAGCTAGTCCTAACATGTTAAGTGTGCCAATAACATTTGTTTTTATTGTCTGCCATTATAGAAAAAATGATCATAAGTCATACGAATTACAATTAGTATTTGACGAGTTTCGATTAACACATTTTTTAACAAACCTTAACAGGGTTGTATTTGTAGAAAATTGGAGATGCAGGACATGCTAAATGGTAGATTTGATCAACCTCGAGAAACAGAGGCTCAGTCACGTCTGAAACATCAAACGAGTATTTCAAAAAGGAGTTATATATTATCCATTGTTTTGAATATTGTGTAATCATTAAGTTTGCTTAAGAAGAAGATATACTTACCATGACGAATGAGCTCAAATCTTGGATGACCAATCCATTTCTTGAGATTGTCTTTTGATCCAGTGAAGTAATTATCAGCAACAATCACTTCATTCTTTTCGTTTTGCATCAGTCTATCAACGAGATGTGAACCGATAAATCCAGCTCCTCCTGTCACCAAGATCCTCATATTCGACTGCAATTTCCAAAATCATTACTCAAATCTCAATTTTCAATTATCAAAGTCTTTAGGTGAGAGTTCGATATTTATATTATTCTTGTCAATAACATGCATTACAGAGTTTGATTACTGATCAAAGAGAGGATATTAATACAAACCACTATGTTACATGTCCTAGTTAGTGAGATTGAAATCAAGACACATAAATTTGACTTTACCATATATCTACACTTTAAACTAGACAAGAACTTAAAGAC